AAACGATCATTACATATGATCAGTAAAAATATCAGGGTTTTGTGAGTGTTTCCAGAGGCAAAAAAACTCACTTAAAATATTTTATGTGATTATTGTTGCTCTGGGAAATTCTTAATTCACAAATATGCAATTTTTCCCCTTGCCACATAGCCTCAAGGGAAGTGAGTAAGCTTAAATGGCTCAAGCAAATATTCAAAAGCCGAAATCCCGGACTAAATGAATTCGGTAGCTTAGAAGTTGAGGAATATATATATTATAAATTTCATAAAATTAGGAAGAGCATTTTGTCTCAAGACAAATAATAACCAAAATAGAAAGTTGATGAAAAAGTGCAAAAAAGATCAATATATTTATAACCAAGAGATCGTACTACTAAATGAGCATCTAATGGATATAGAGGAGACGTGAGAGCATGCCAGCCTTAAATGGAAAACGTTAATAAAATTAAAACTACTTGAAATATTAAATAAATTTTCATTTGATTTCACTTATTTACTTTTATGCTATACATAAAAATAATTTTTTAACAATATTAATTTTTCCGATAAAAATTTTGGGAAAGGATGAGTTATACCTAATGTTGTTAATAAAAAACGGTTAACTCAATATTTTACCAAGAAAAATCTTATGCAAGCCTGAAGATTTTGCTCATAGATGGCACAAAGGTCTAAATATCTGTTAGCGAAATCTAAAGGCTTATTTTTTAGCTAAAATATTAACTTAGCGATTTTTAAAATCGGCTCAAAACGAGCTGTTAAACAACACTGGCTACAATCGGGGAAAGATGAGTTAATTATCCATTTGCAAAATATTGATTATTTTTAAATATAAAAATGATTTATATTATTGCAACTATTTATTAATACAAAATAAGCCATAATGAACTTAATTATGAAAAATTAGTGGAATTTATTGATAATTTAAACAAATGGATTAAAATTGCAACAGGATCCATATGCCAAAAAAGACCATTTAAGTGACATTTTAGATGCATTTACTAGATAATTGTATAATATAGTTTCTTGCTCTTTCTTGAATATTCATCTTGATGTAGATAATATAAAATGTTGTTGTTTCATTAATCTTGATTTATATCTTTTTACTGTTGCATAACCTGATTGTTTTCTCCATAATGGCTAGCAAGGATGGATTTTCATTGAATTTATTAATGATTTCATCATTTATTTTTTTCTGCTTTCTAAAATGATTTCTTACCATATTCATATTTCAATAAGCAAAAATAAATTTAAAAAAGAACGCACACAAGTTAACTTTTGAAAAGTAACCCCAGACCCTCAATATCTTTAAAATTTAATTTTATGGAAGTTTAAACATATCTTTTGTTCAAATAGAGAATAATTTTATATAGAATGGGGTTCTTTTATATAAGATATTATTGGATAGCAACCATTAAATTTTTATTTTTGATAAATTGCTACATTTAAAAGTATTATTCCAGAGTTGGTAATCGCTACTTTTAAAGCTCGCTATGCGATGCCATTTTAAATTATTAATAGGTGATTTAGGTTAATAATACAAAATGAAAATATTAATTACAAAATGAAAATATATTTCAATTTCAAAATTAAATAATAAATCATAAAAATTATAATTAATTATGGTATTATATTTAAATTTTCGTGCTTAAACTTACATTCATTATATTTTTTAAACGCGCTAAAAGATTAAATAATTTTTAAAAAAGTAGCCGCTATTAGCTATAGTTTAGCGCGCTACTTTAACAACTCTGTATTATTCTTAAACGGCTCCATTTGAGCCGATTTTTAAAAACGGCTAACTCAAAATTTTATCCAGAAAACATTATGTAAGCCTGAAGATTTTGTTCATAGATTGCCCATCTAAATATCTAATAGATGAATCTTGAGGCTTAGGTAATATTTTTCTGGCTAAAATATTGAGTTAGCCGTTTAGACTCAAAACGAGCTGTTTAACGGCACCATTTTAGATTTTGTTATAAAAATCTTATATGTGATCCGATATTTAAAAAAATCATAGCCGCATATGCATAATGTAGTTATACATATTGAATACTCTAGAGGAAAACTCCAATTCTCACAAAAACTTCAGGCTTATAAGATTCCCAGTCAAAAATTCATCTTTTGACCAAATTTGAGACTATTAGCTCTAAAGATGAAATAGGTATAAACTTACAATAGGCCCTTGGCTATATTCGATTTTTCACTTTTTTATAAAAATGTTTTTTTCCTAAAAATTTCGAATTAAAGTCGTTATTTTAAAAAGTAATTAACTTTTACTAATTTTTCTTTCATATGATGTTTTGTATACATTGGGGAGGGGGGGATAGCTTATTACGAGAACAGGCAAATTTCCGAAGAGTGATACCCTTTCTTGGTTGCATATCAATTTTAAATTCGATTCTCTTATATTTTTAAAACATTTAAATTCTTTCATGTATTTAAATAAAAATATGAAGGTATTCCTTTTTAATGAATATAGATATCATATCAATAAGATGGTACAAAAATATTATTCACAAATCCCTACGTTTAAAGCTTTGGTTAATCAAATCTTTTTTAAAAAAAATCCGAATTAAATATAAAAATTGATTTGATTTATATTTTGTAGATAGTTGGATTATTATTAAAAATACAATACATTTAAAAACACTTAATAAGACCCGGGGTAAAATTTAATCTTGGAATCTTTGGTAAACGATATACCTTTAGTATTTTTATTTTCAGAATCGATAGTCATAATTTTGACTTTAATTTATATATTTTTTCAAAAAATGAATAAAGAAATATAAAAATATTTTTGTTTTGTTATATCATTTAAAACTGGTTGTTAGGGCTGAGAATCCGAACCTTGGGTTTTATTGAACTGCCCCTTTTAATAAATTCATTGTGTTTTTTCTTGGAAAAATTTTATTAATAAAAATTTTAATTTAATTTTTACATTCATCATTTAGCAATATTTTATATCATAAATAATATATATTTTATTGTTGTTAGTTAGATTATTTGAAAAAAGTAAGACCAAAGAAAAGAATAAAATCAACAAATTAAAATAGTTTTATTAAATGGGTTGGGCATAGAAAATCTATATTTTAATTTTAACACCTGTGTTATTCTTCTAGCTTTAAGGATATGTCCTGGTTTTAAACAATGTGATATTTTCTTTTAAAAGGTGAGTGACTGGTTATGTATTGTCAGGATTTTTTAAGTTTTGAACGAGTATTTTTAACATTAGATATAATATATATTATCACACTTAAGAGGAAATCACAATAATTTTATTTTGTAAGATATAATAATTTCGGAACCCTTTTTTAGAATTAGGGTTCTCAGCTTTGGTAAAAACTTGGATGATATGACACTTATTTGATGGAGTAATGGAATCCCGCTAGCTTTGGAATATTAGGCGTTGGCCGTTTCGAGCTTCTTTTGCTTCCAACACTATATTTGAGAGGAAATCTAAAATATAAATAAATATAGACGCATACTTAATATATTGCAATAATTCTCATTCTTTCTGACTTGATAGTTGGATTTAGAGCCGATAATCTTTTCAATTAGATAATCCTAAAAATGATTTTATCTCACAAAAACTCTTTTAAAATTTTTATTTATATATACAAAGTGCCACTTGAACTAATACTTTTTAAAGCCAAAAGGTTTTTGAAGAAATTTCATAATATACTGGTCTATCACAGCCTTGAATCAATTGATTGCAAAAATTAATGCTACCGTCGGATTAGGAAAAAAACGGTAAAGTGGTGAGAGACCACGCACAGCTCATACTATGGAAATTGTTGATTCTGTTGAAATACTCGTATTAAGCCATGGCATCCAAAGAACAATTCATCCAGTTCTCGATAAACTGGTATTTCGCGAACTTCAGTTCATCGGATTATTCACAAAGAGCTCAGCCGAAACTTTTAAAAGAAATAAGCCAAGGACCTAGCCTAGGGGAATAAGATTTGACTTCTAGAAAGTAGGCAACTTCTATGAAAATACCCTTAGAAGTTAGTTTATTTCATCTGATTCACGGATAAAAAAATGCATACAGTAGCTCCATCGGTAAATCTGCAAAATGATGGTGTGTTTATTGTAGTTCCAATGAGAAAAAAAAGTTTCAGCCAATTGATTGCTTCGTATTTTCCCAAATTTCTCTAAATCCGCCATGATTTCAGTCGGGGCATCAAGTCTTGGCTGTAGAGCTCATCTTTATCAATTCAGGGGTCAAAATTACTGGCGCATACTATCGTGACGTCCTACTAAGTGAGAACTTATTACCTGCTGTCAGGCAGTAATTGTTTTCATATTTCAGCAGGATAGGGCTTCAGATCACAAGAGCATCCACTCTTTGACCCTCCAATAGGTCGACTACAAGATATAGGGCGTCCTTCAAGAACGTGTTTATGAACCCTGCTTACCCCACGTTGACCATCCCAAACATCGATTTGTGGAGGAATGGAATCATTTTGATCAAGGAATTATTGATTGGTTAATTGTGCAATCAATGATTGGCGAGATCGATTTAGCACATGTCTTCGAGCTAATGGTGGGCATTTTGAGCATCAGCTTTAAAGAGCAACATTTGGCCAAATCAATTTTAACTGTTGTGTTTTCATGTTTTTGATTGTAAAGTTTAATAAAAAATAAATTTTTACATGTTGAAAAGTTGGAATTCTGTTTGTCTTTGTGCAATAAACAATTATTTCTTTTTTTAAAATTGAGATTCATTGTCAAAAAAAAAATATTAGTTTAACTTAACTGGGACACAGTGTATAATTAAAAGTTAACTATAAGATGGGTAACATAACCCGTTCCTGTTTTGAATATTTAGAAATAAAATTTTCTAAGGAGTGAAAACAAAAAAATTAGTAAATCTGCGATATTTTATCTTTTATTTCTATATCCTTTTTTTTGCTTTATTTTTTTTGTTATGTAGAAGAATTTAAAAAATATATTTGATTGGCTAATCCTCAATGATTTAAATATCAGATATTAGCACCATAATACATAAATAATGATATATATATTGTAATCAGACAAATCAGTTTTCACACATTAAATATACACAATTATTAAATATTGATAATTTCATATCTCCTTAATTTTATTGCATCTGGTGTAATCGATTGATTTTCTGTTTCGGTATGGACCAATTTCATCAGGTAAACTTGATTTTTTTGGATCGTGAACGAGGAAAGATTGTGTATAGTCTTTTAATTATTATATTATTTTTTATATTAAAAATTAATATTAGTGATTACAAAATTTAGAGATTTTTAGAGACGGCTAAAAATAATGACTTTTGGAAGGTCTTTTCTGATAATCAAGGACTAAAAAAATGATCAGTATGATCCCAGCCAGGAACCCGTTCTGAAAGGTAAAATAATTTAATCTTAAAAATCAGGGCAGCGCTTTAAGAGAAAATTACGAACCTGGACTAGGTATAGAAATAATTTTTTACAACACCCGAGCCGAAGTCGATTTTTTTAAACAAAAAAATAAAAATAATATCCTTTAATCAGTTGGAAAAATTGTATAAAGGAGTCATTTAGCATTTATTTATTGCTCATATTTTCAATATTCCGTAAAAAATGATCAATCATAATAAAAAATAAACCAGGACAGACTTAAACAAGCTCAATAAAAATCATGGCCGGAGTTTGAAAACAAGAATTTTTATAAAAAAAAATCCGTGCTGGGCCAGGCTTAAAAAGTTCTACCTATATAGATTTCCCTATAATTGTTTTGAAATTGTTAATTCTAAATTCAGTTCTTTATTTTTCTGTGGTATGCAATAGCGTTTATCGATCTCAGACGTTTTTAAGACCTAACACCATATTTATTTTATGTCGAATGAAGAGCAGAGCTCATTAACATTTTTGAGGGTAAATTGCTTAGTTAACTTTTAGCGTCTCTTTTATGATTTTAAAATTAATTATATTTTTTAATAAGTTAGACTATTTATCATAATTAGCATAAAGAAATTTGACTAACATTGTTCGATCATCCTGAATTTAAAAAAAAACATAATTAGGGTGTGCTTCAAATATATAGAAATGATTGTAGATGAGTTCGTTCAAGTACTACTAGCAATATGGCAAAATATTGAAGTGAATTTTTAAAAAATATATCATTTTGCAAAGTGACAGATATATCTTATTAAAAATATCAAAAAATACAAGATCTAAGATATTTGTATCTTTTTCTAAATAGTATCTTAAATACTAGGTACTTTTTTTATAAGATTATCATTACCTATTAAATTAAATATAATGTTGTGGAGAATATAACATAGGTATATAATTAGAGAAAGAATATTATTAATAAAACTCATTTTATAATAAAAATGAATATTTACAATAAATGGTAAATTATATAAAATTATCATATATAATGTCGAGGCAGATTACATAATCAAACATTTCAAAAAATATTAATTTTAACCCATTCATATAATTTGACAGGTAAGGCATACTAGTATTTTTTATGGAGTTGAAATATCATTTTACATTATTTTGAAATTTATTAATTTAACTATCAGTGTATTTAATAAATTAAATTATTATTTTTGAAAATAATCCATTTTTCTAATAATTTATCACAAGTCTTTGCCGTTACAGAGTAAATAATATTGTGTCAAAAAAGAATAACCTTTCAATCTGAGCTACTAAGTGAAGATTATATTTTTTTTAAATTTCCCTTAATGGAAGGATAATAGTTTATTATTTCAACGATCTTTAAAATAATTAAAAACCTCCAGTTCAATATCATTTGTATTATTAAACTAATAATCATCTTTTTCTCGGTTATTAGTGTTAAATCTAATAATGTTGTAGTTTGATTATGTACTAATAAATTTAGGGCTTTTTTAATAATATATTTTGATGGTATTTTTTCCTTCATCTGGCTCTTATAATCTGATTTATATAATAACATAAATATTTAATTAAATTAGGTCATTTGACCTATTTATATGGCTTAAAAAACATATTTACTACATTATTCACCCACTTACATTATAACTTATTTAATTTGTTATTTGTATTAAGTTATATTCAAATCATACTCTAAGTTAACCTCGTGAATTTCATTTTATTTTAGTTATCATTTTATTATTATTCATATTAACATCCTTATATAAAGTCAGAAATTTTAAATATATATATGTCTTTTTATTAAAGTGAAATAAAGAAATATTAATTTATCTTAAGTGAAATAATTAAATATAAATAACCACTAGTTACTTCAGATTCAATATGTTATTAAAGCATGAATGATATATAAATGCTAAATGATTTACTATATTCATCAAAAAATTCCAAAATCTTTGCCAATACCATCTTGAACAGGTCTTAATAAAGGTAGCTAATGTGACAAATTGAATTTTCAAGTTTATTATCTCAATCACAAACATTTTACACTATATTCAGTAAATGACCTGACAAAATGAAGTGTTATCTCTAACTGTTGCAATTAGCTTATCTGAAATATTGAACTTCGATAAACTTTTTTGATTGACTCTGCTATTTTAACATAAGAATGTTTCAAGCATTTTCTTGATCATCTTTCAATGGTTTTTATCTTTATTGCAGTCCGTAAATCTGCCGTGATGCAGATAGATTGAGCCTTATAAATATTTTATAAGGGCTGAATTTGATTCTCGTATTTCTTCAATTTTTCATTGCAATAAGCCTCCCATCATTAACAAATTTAGGCTGTTCAACTAAATCTATAGAGTATAAACCCCCTAGCAACAAATACTATCAATTTTATTTTGTGATTATTGGATAATTTTTTTGTGGTGATGGAGAGCTAGTTTTCCCCCTGGGTCTTTAGATATAATTGGTACGTCTTGAAAAATTCTAAATGGCACCTTTTAATAATATTGATACAAACAAAACAATATAACCATTATAAAGCTTATAAAAATATAATGGGCTTAATAATATATATTAAAACATAACACCTATTTCTAATAATATGATTTAAAAAGAAAAGCAACCATTAATTAGAATAAATGCAAGCAAAAATAAGAACAAAACTATATATTATTAAATATAAATAATTTAATATGTTTAAGAAAATTTATAATTTGTTGACACTTTATAGATTATTTGTTTGTTCAGGCTTAGCATTATTGTTATACTTTTATATTTTTTCACTTTAATCTTTTAAAAAAATTTCATCTAAAATTTTAAGTTTTGAATTTGATTAAAGGGAACTTATTTCCATAATTTCATTACTACGATGAAGGTTTCTACAAATTAAAAATATATTATACAATGGTGTTATTCTATTCATTACACTAATATATAAAATGCGTGCCTTCCCTATTTTGTTTTGGTGTTATTTATGTATAATGATGTAAGTTGTCGATTTTCAAGTTGATTATAAATATGCTATAAAATTTAGCGATATTTTTAAAATATGAAGAGAGGTAGGAAAGATAAACAAATACAATAATCCAAGAAAAAAGTTATACGTGATTGATTATTAAATTTTTAAACAAAAACATAAAAAGTATCTAACTTTTGTCAAGAAAATGAAAAAAATTCTTTTGATCTTAGATACAGATGCAAGTATCTTATTAAAAATGTGAAAAAGATAGTGAGTAAAGATACAAAAAAATCATATATCTTAGATGAATATTTTAAATATTCTCCCCTTTTTCGATATTTGTAAAATAGGCAATATAGAATAATTTCTGATTAAAGCTTGAACGAAACATTGCAATATAAAAAATATACCTTAAAATGAAAATTTAATATTTATTTTTTTTATTCAGATAATACCTAAGGATCCAGGTGGGTCTTCAATATCAATTGCATGATACTTTACAGGATCGCGATTCTCCTGATTGGAAATATTATTAAATGGCGCATTCATTTCTCTGTATATTTTTCCTATTTTATTGTTTAAATATGAATTATAACTGTCTCAAGAAATTCCTTTAATTACGACATAACCCTTTTTTATTATCCTTTTTATCTAAATTTTTTTTTAAATATACTATACAAGCCATTTGTTGTTCATAATATAGCTCTGCAAGTCATCTCTAACCCGCTAGGGCCTAACTTTTTAAACTAATTCGTCCTTGGACCTAAAAGTAAAAAATCAGTCTAGATTGGGGTTGGTTGGAACATTATAAAAAATAATTGAGAAAATGAATTTTCTCTTTTATAAAAAATGAAATAACCATTAGAATTTCACTGTGATAAGGACAAAACAAGTAGTGATTTTATCTCATAAAAAGCGTCTAATTTATGTTTTTTAATCAAAAATTTCGTACCGGGCTAAGGCCTAAAATAAAAATTTGGGCCGGGCCAAAAATCAAATATTTGCAGGGTTCTAGTTTTCTAATTTCTTTTTTTTAAAATTTATAAAAATAAATGAATTGGGTAAATTTTATTTTAATATTTATAAATATTATAGATTTACGAAAAATTAAATATATATTTAAAGGACCTGTGGCTTGGGTCTAGAATAGGATCACCGTCTCCTCGACGGGGTGTAAAAACCATCTAAAGGGAATGATGTTAAGAAGGGCATCCACATGTAAAAATCTTGCTCCAAAATTTATGATTACAACAAAGCTTGGGCAGAGCCAAAAGTACCCCGTGGGCCTCTTCATCTGCTTACGACAAAAAGAAGAATTAGAAACCTGGTGAAACCACGATTCGTAAAAATGAAACCCATAAACGCCCTGATAATAAGTGGAGAAACCAGTTTACGGGGGATAGAGTAAGAATTGCGGCATGGAATGTTGGGAGCATGACGTGAAGAGGGAGAGAAGTGGTCGCAATGCATAGAAGGCATATAGATGTGTGCTGCATACAAGAGACCAGGTGGAAAAGTAATGGTGCAAGAATGATTGGCAGGACAAGTGAAAAGTATACATTTTTTTGGCAAGTAAGCAATGATGGTAAGGCTGGCATTGGCGTATTGGTTGCAGAGAAATGAATGGACAAACTAATCGAGGTAAGAAATAAATAACCAGATAATGATTATCAAGATGATTTTTGGTAGAAAGCTATGCAATATTATTCTGGCATATATTTCTCAGGTTGGAAGAAGTGAAGAAGAGAAAGATATATTTTGAGACAGTCAATTTAAGGTGACATCGAAATTGGTAAATGAAGAGGAAATTATCCTGGCTGGTGATATTAATGGGCATATGGGAGCGAGTAGTGAAAGTTATGAGGGAATACATGGAGAGTTTAGTTAAGGCATGAGAAATCCGGAAGAGGTGAAAATTTTGGACGTTGGTGATGCTAGGAATGTATTGAACACCAATGACTAGTTATAAGAGATCTCACTTTTAAAGGCGCCAGGATTATTTAAAGAAAGTTTGTGCCAAAGCTGAAGGTTTGGGAATTGAAGGAGAAGCGTGCTAGACGTCAATTCAATATGACATTGGAGATAAGAAAGGCGGAGGTGGCACAAGTATCTAGGGTAAATGACAAGTTGGAATCCATGAAGAAAGCCTGGTTGAGAACAACTGAGGAGAAATGTGGATGAGCAAAAGGCCGCCTAGACATAAGGAATGGTGATGGAATCCGGAGGTAGCGTAGACGAGAAACTGAGGTATTTTAAGAATGGTACAATAGTAAAGAAAATAGTTTACAAGGTGGCGAGAAATGCCATGAAATTATTAACGAAAGCGCAAGAACAAAGGCAGTAACTGGCTATAGAAATGGAATGCGAAGAAAGAATGTGAAATGTGGTCCTGATGGCAAAAAAGAGGCAGGATGTGGTAGGTGTTGTTTAAAAAATATGGAAGTTAAAATAGTGATTGATAGTAATGGTATAAAAAACATGATGTTCGTTGTGCAAAGGTAGAAGGTCCAGGGTGTAAATTTGGAAAGGAAAAAATTAAGAGAGCATCGAAAAGATGAAAAAAGGGAAGGTAGCGATTTGACTAGAGTGGTATCAGAAATGTTTAAAGGTTCTGATGACTTAGGGATTTTTAGTTTATAAATTTAACCAATCTAATTGTCACAGAAGGAATTATTCCCGAGGAATGGCGAAGAAGTATAATTATTCCAGTATAAGAGGGTCAAGGTAATCCTTTAGATTGCGGTTCTTATTGAACTATTTGAATAAGCAATGAAAGTATTTGAGTGGATGCTAGAGAAGCGTATAGGGGAACAAACGAAAATTGATGAAATACAATTTGATTTTACAAAAAAGAAACTGTATTATGCGTTTTTTGATTTGGAGAAGGCATTTGACAGGGTGCCGTGCGAGGTTACTAGATGGGCTTTGAGAAAATCAGGTGTGGAAGAATGGTTGGTTATGGCACTGATGGCAATGTATTTGAAGGTACAAACTGCGGTAAGGACGGATGATGAAGATAGTAAAAGCTTTGAAGTGAAGATAGGACTTCATCAGGGATCGAGTTCACTATTATTTATCTTAGTAATGGATGTGGTGGCTAAAGAGATTCGTGAAGGACTTTGCTGGGAGGTATTATATACAGATGACCTTGTATTAATGGCAAACAGTGAGGAAGTATTGAGGGATAAATTAGTAGATGGAAGATGGCTATGGAAGCAAATGGCCTGAAAATGCGGAATCCGGTAACTGGCATTGTGGTGTATGTGGGAAAGGAGTTACTAGAAATTCAATCAAATGCACTAGATACCAGAAATGGGTGCATAAAAGATGTTGCAGGAAAATAGGAAGTCTAATGTTAACAAGAATGACCTTTATTTGTAGAACGTGCATAAAGGGAGTACATAATACTGATAACGTAGAAAATGGTTTTTGGATATTGGCAATGGGTTAACACAGGAAAAGTGAAAAAGTTTTGCTAATTGGGTGATATGCTAAACGCAGATGGTTATAGATTCTGCTGTTGTTGCAAGGATCAGACAAACGTGGAAGAAGTTCAGAGATGTTGTCTATTCTAACAAATAAAAATATCTCTCTGAAGTTAGTAGGGAAAGTTTACGATTGTGTGAGGAGCTGTTTAGTTTATGGTGGCGAAACATGGGCAATGAAAGCGGTCATGAAGCCAAAATGGAAGGAACAGAGATGAGGATGAATAGAGGATGTGTGAGGTATCTCTGAGAGAGAAAAACTAGCAAGGAATTGGGACCAAGAATGGGTATAGAAGTGATTGAAATGATAATTCGAGTAATAGACTAAGATGGTTTGGGCATGTGGAACGTAAGATAAAAGATGACTGGGTAAAGAGATATATCTTGATGGAAGTAGGAGGATCAAGACCTAGAGGAAGGCCCAAGATTATGTGGATAAAGGTGATAGCGGCGAATATGACATAAATGAATTTTACAAATATAAATGCTCAGGACCGTATGGAAAAGAAAAATCAGAGTAAAAACTGGCCAACCTGTAAATCGCCATTAAACGGAGAAGAAGTTTTAAAGGATAATTACAAAAGATATGATTCAAAAGGGTGGTTTTTAATTGTTTGTCAACTGCCCGTGTTGTTAGAATCATATTTATTAATGCCATATTTTTTATTTATTATCTCGTAATCTTTCTAGAATTTTAAAAATAAAGGAGAAGCTATTTATTCATAGTAAATTTTAAAAAAACTAAATATTAACCCAACAAGTTTTTTCTTTTAAAAACACCATTCAATAATAAGGGTCATAAATAAATGATGATTTAAACAATTCATTTATCTTTTTTTAAGATAATATAATCTTATGGCAAACAAATTTTGGCTTGGGTGCTATGTTTCATTCAATTAAATAAAAATTTTATAGAATAATCCCCTTAGGTTAAGGTCATACCAGAAAGGGTATAGTATTTGAGCGATTGAGAAATTGAGCCTTTGGCAATCATTATAAAAAAAATTAATACGATAAATATACTAATAAATAAAAGGTAGTTTAAATATGGTGAATTCCATATCAAATCAACCAAGGTTTCAACCCGACCACTTTCAATTTTTCTTAATTTTACATACTGGTATTATATACTATTACTAAGAAAAAAATGAATTTTTAGTTTCCAACACTGTTTACCAGCTAAAATATGGGGCTTTTATAAATAAAATGGTACATTTTTGACAAAATGCACCTTATTTATTTTCAAATATCTCGAGAAATAATTATATTAGAGAAATAATTTAAATTTTATTATGTAGCTTGATAATAATTCTTTAATATGACATAAAAAAAGATAATATAAATTTGATAAATTTCGAAAACCGGATGTATAAGGAAATAACCATAGAAAAAAATGTATTTTTTCAAATTTTTTTCCCTGTAGATGGCTATCAAACTGCTTTATATTTGTACAAAATCCTAGACAGGGATGAACATGGTTCTAAAAGCAAATGATAAAAAATTTAAAGCGAAAACGTTCAATTTCTTTGGAAACAATATTTTGCAATGCTAGATTTCAGGTTTGTTATCTTTTGTGTGCTTGAATGCTGATAAGGCCTTAGACTTATCACTACTTCCCTTGTCCTAAATACCTTATTAAAAATTTTCAAGATAACAATAATGATAACATACAGGAAATGTATTTATCTATCATATAAACCAGGCATATATTTCTTCTCACATTTAATATTGTCATTCCTTCTACCGGGGGCATGAGGAGATGCTATGTACCTGTGTGTCAAAGGTATTTCGTTTTTGTCACCTTGCAAAAATGTTTTTATTTATTTAGAAATATATTTCCTTTTTAAGTTAAGGCAAATTATTATGAATAAGGTAAAATTGTTATTATAAAAATACATTATTGGAAATCTTTATTTTTAAATGTCAGATATGAGAATCTTTTAAACACAGAAAACTGTTTATGATAATGTTCTTAACGGTGATAGTATAAACCTAGAAGTTGATATTGATATAAAATAATGTATTATGGAATGGATTCAGAAAAAAGAAGCTTTTCTCACCATTAAAAAAAATTAACATGGGTTCACCGTAAAGAAAAAGATTAAGGTATTAATTTTTTTTAAAAAAAGTGGCTTTTTGTTTGATAATATTGTTAGAAAAATATCCATAAATTTTGCCTTAACATTCATAAAATATTTGTAATAAGATATCATAATTTTATAAAGTTTGAGATTTTTTTAGCTATCTTTAATCGCAAAAAATATTTTCAAAAATTGTATGGTAAGCTATCAGAGACCTTCATGTTCATGGGCCTTAATTTTTTGACCAAACCCGGCCTAAGCTGATATCCAAAAATTTAATTTATTGTATTTAATAAAAATAAACAATATTTACATGTATTTAGGAAATCATTTTGTCTACAAAACTGAAATTTATTATAATTGAAAGAAGAAAAAAAGGCAATATTTCTTTAAGTTAGCAACTGTTTTAAATAAGCTAAATTTTTAATTTAATAATTTTAGGCCCAAACCCATTAAAAAAAATTAAAAATTTCAAAAACCCAGGCCCGCTAGCAAATATGATATTAGGTCCATTGGCTGTTTAAGCCTGCTGGCCGGGCCGGCCCATGAAGGTCTCAGCTAGCTATACAACGTAATTTATCGTTATATGTTTTTTTTTATTTTCTTGAATTTTTTCACGTTCAATATATAGGAAGATACTCAGCACATTGGGTTTTCCGTTAACCCGAAGTAATAAATTCAAAATTTAACAATAATAATTTGTTTTTCAATAAAACTTGCTTTGCAAGCTCAAATTTTAAAATCTCAACTTGAATTTTTACTGAAAAAAAGACATTATTCTGATCCTGTTATAATAGACAGAATTTTTCAAAAATAAGGGTACAAAAATTCATAATTAGATATTCTTTTAAACTATTTTGGGGTAATGATGTCCTATTTGGTGGAGCGGAGGTAGAGGTGGGAAATATAAATGGGTTATTTTCTACGGAATTGTTTATGAGTGAACTAAGTATCGTATCTTGTTGTAGATTTTCCAAACTTTGACGACGGTGAATATTTTCAGATAAACTACTGTTTTTATCGACCGAACGATCTGTGTAATTGTTAGGAGTACCTGAACAATTCTGTAAAACGTGAATAGGCAAAGGAAGGTAGGAAGGGTGGGAAGATTGAAATAGCTTGGATAACAAATACCTCTTGATTTTGCGGCAACTGGCTCTACCTTTGAGTAGACACTAAAAATATTCAATAATTATTTTCATTTATATACTAAATTTTAGCAATATTAAAATGTATCTTACGTTAAGATTTTACTAAAGGGGGCGCTTTATTAGGTAGAATTTTCCACGAATTTATTGGAGTAATATGGTTAACTTATTTTAAGCTTTGGCCAGGCATTTAAAAATAATAATTTTGCTTTTCATTTTTTATTTAAGAGGAGGGACATTTGAGAAGAAATCGTGGAATCGCCACCTTTGGCAACGCCTATAACGTGCCTTATGTAGATTCATAATTCATTCAATAAGAATAGAATCAAATTATAGACTAAGGCATGTTATAATTTTAAATAAATTGATTAATTCTATCATTTTACTATGCGATAGCAAATAAGCAATCACTTTTTGATTGGCCCTCAAACCAAACAATATCAAATTAACAAAAACTATTTTACAGACTAAAGGAGCAGAAATGACCTCAGACAGAAATGATTAATTTAAAAGATTTCTGGTGTTTGTAGAATTTATGACCATTCTTAAAACGAGTTACAGCAAAATTTTAAAGAGAGGAAAACGTTTTACATAATGAAACGGGGAAAAAGGAATATGAATTTTAAAAAAGAGAATAAATTAATTATACAGGAAAAGAAGAGTAAATAAAGAAAAATAAGAGATAAAAAAATATTTTAAAAATTACATTTTTAGCAGCTTGGCACCTTATAACATCTTCGAATATGAGCTTAGCTTTGAAACAAGCAATTTTATCGAATACTTCTTGGTTATAGATATGGGATAACGAGGATGGGGAAGAATGATTGAATAGTATTTGAGTTCTGACGTGAAGTGATTTCGGTTCGTTGTAAATGCTGGCTATCTCTATATCCTATGTTTTGTGGTAATACTTAAACTTAAATTAGATCATGGTTTCATTTTCTATTTAACGTTCCCTTTCCTTCCTTTCTATCTATCTATCTACAGTTGCATACCGGGGGTAGGGAGCACAGAGGCCCAAGCTCAACCGAGCCCCAATAAATTTTTTCTTATTCTTGACCTGCCCCAAACCGTGGTTCGACTTTTTAGAAATTCTATTCTCTATTTAGCCCTTCTCCTTATTTTTAAATTCATTTTGTAATTTAGATTTCAATCAGGCAAAAAGGAATAGATTAATATTTTTTTCGGGACACGGGCCGGACCTTTTTATTAAAAATGATACTGTCGCCCGACCCTACGGGACTCTGCCTCATCCTAATTATTAATTTTTTCAAAAATAATTAGTGTATTTTTTTTACTTTAAGCGGAGCTATGTATTTGACTATCCCATGAGCCATCTTTTTTTGATGAGGTATGACTAGAGAGAAATAAAAATCGGAAACCACCAAAAACCAGTAAGGAAGATTTTGACTTAATTTTTTATATTTGTTTGGAGGTAAAATAAAAAATAAGTATCATAAATCAGGTATAATATTATATTCAAAGATAATATCAAAGATAATATCAAAGAATATTTCTTTCCAAGATTAGTAATCAAATTTTTTAATATTTATATCGTCACGGATTCGCGCAGCTGAATGAGTGCAAAAGTGGACTCATTAATATTTGCCTTCTTGAACAAAACATTCTAGTAAAAAGATTTAATAAATTTTAATATGCGAATTAGAGATTAACGGGATTCAAATTTTATGACGGTATCGGGCAGAATGCTGGTATAAATTAATTGTTAACTAATTAAATTATCCTCTTTATTATATTTAAAAAATCCATCAGAAATATCAATAAAAGAAATCACATAAATCTAATTATTACAAATGTATTGAACTAAAATTTCCGGATAAAACATCAAGTAAGTCTCTGCTTTGAATATTCTTATATTTCTAATTATTCAAAAAAGGTGGTTTATTTTTTTGTGCTTTAGTGAGAAATAAAAATCTGCAAACCCACTCGTTTTTTTATTTAAAAACTATTAGTTTGGTTGGTTTAACTTTTTTCATTTTCGTACACATTTTTTTTTACTACTTATAAAATATGGAATATTATAAAGTAATGAATGATTTTTTAGTAAATATAGACCAGTTCATGCTTATTCTTTCTGTAAAATATTTCAAATCACCATCCCGCCCGTTCGTTTAAAAATATTTTTCTCAGTGGCGCAACTAATGTTTAATTTTTTTAACCTGTCAGTTTCAGACCTCTAATAGTGTAACATAGTTGATTTTATATTATTAAGGTTCTTTTTCCTGCATTAAAAATGAAACTACTTGGCAAAGTTAAATAATTTCTCAGTATTAGATTAAAATTACCGTAAAGAATTTACCAAAAAAGGATATCTTAAAGTTATTATATATATATAAATTATCCCTCTTTTTTAAAATGTAAACTCTTATTCTATTATTACGTGCGAATGAATACAATTCATGCTTATATAGTAAATAGTGTTTAACAAATTTCAAATTCAATACAGGATAAAACTAACTTCATATGTTTTTCCAAGGTGCATGATATAATATCTTTATCACCTATGTTTTAATATTAGAAAAATATAAATATATTTTGTAAACAAGGAGAACCAGTATATTTTTATTTTAGTTGTTTCTTATTTTAAATGCATAACATTTCTTATTTTTTCCTTCCTATCTTAGCTTATTTTAATTACTTCCATTACTTTTATTTTTTAAGCTTTATAACAAAATTAAATAAATTTAACTTAAATCCAAAACGGTATCAACAGTAGGTAGAACGGAAGATTTGTACACGTCTTGTAATGATTTTTCGTATGCCCATTTTTGCTCTTGCAATCTTTGGGTCAATGGATAAAAATGCGGGGATAATTGGCGAAAAAATTTTCTCAGCAATAAAAAGCAAGAAATATTCTATTTTACAGCATCGTTTATTCGTCAAGCCATTTTTAAAAAAATTATAAATAAATGAAGGTTTAGGAATAGAATAAAATAAAAACATGAAGAAATGAGAAAGCGGTTATTACAATAGAAGATTTAATCAGAATCTTTTAATTTACACGAATATTTTTGGATGGAATATTTTGCTCATAAATTAGTTATGTGACTTATTTGTATTTAGCTGAAAACAATATATTAATAACTATTGAGGTTTAAACACTTGCTCATCTTATCAAAATTATCCGCCAATTGCATTTTTTAATTTATAAAATTTCCAAACTAATTAGCAATAAATTCAATTTACTAATATTAGGAAATCTGACAATTTTTTTTCAAAACATTGCATCCTATAAAATGTAATTTGTGCCCTTTTCTATATCTTTAAAATAGCCGATAACAAAAAATAAAATGTTTATATCTTATTTTACCATTTTGAGTTTAACGAGGGTAGGAGAAATTTCACCAACCGAATCTCCACCATATGCGTACAGAGTTGCGAGATTGCTAAGAGTCTTTTTGTTAAAGAAAAAGAAAGATACCTCTATATAAACTTTATGAGAGAATAAGCATTTTAATCAGATTTTAATCTATCTATCTTTTTTTCTTTCTTTCTTATCTCCATCGAAACTATCTTTGTTTTCTTCCCTTTGTTTCCATTCTTCCTTATATAAAAAAAACCTGTTCATGATTTTGATTCGAAGATCTAACAGCTTCTCGAGTGATACCGCAATCATTCAACAATGTATCGTAAACCTTTGCCGCAACTTTCATGTTCGATATAATATTCAAATAATTTTCTTTGTCAAGATTACGATCATCTCCCAAGCCAAAATGAGTAAGCAAGAGTATAGGGTTGTGGAATAGACTAACCTCTATATTAGTCGTTACAGCGGTCTTATCTACATTTTTTTCGCTGATCTTTAGATGATCAGGCGTATTTTGATTGTCAGATTGGAATGTTTGATTAGTAGAGAAGGGTAGGAGGGATGGAATCAATAAAAAGACCAGCGAGGCCAGTTGGATTTCGAACACGTCGGTAAATACTTCTTCATTGGACTAATATATTTTTTTTTAAATCAATAATATAAATAATGATTTAATAAATGGCGGAGATGGATTGAAGAAATAAATAAATAGGAAAAGTGGGTGGGGGTAATAGCAGTTATTTTAAAACTTTCATGTGTTTAAATTTATATATATTTTAAACAAAAAAATATAGTTTTCTTTTTTTATCAATAAGCCCAAGATGACAAGATCTTTAACACACTATTTGTTTGTAGTTGCAAATTGCATTCTTCAATACTTGAAGATATTAAATAAGGCGAGAAGGAAAGCGGGAAATTTGGCTCTCCTTAGCAAATAGCCAGTTCTCCAATATATCCATTTAAACATGTAAAAATTATATCTACACTTCCCGGTCCATCTCTTTGCAAAAAATTAGTAGTATATGTAGTTATTATAAACAATATTGTTTAAAAAATATGTATAAAAGAATACTTTTTCAAAATATAATACTAATTTACAAGAATGTAAAACTAAAATTTTAAGTGTAATCAGGTCAAAGGCAATTTATGGTAAAAAAGTTATCCAAATTTTTGTCCGACCCGCCTAATTTACATTTTTTTTAAAATTTGCCCGGCCCAACCCAACAATTTATGAAAAATAGGGTCGACCAGGCTCAAAGATTTATGAAAAGTCCATCCCGGCTCGCTAATATTTGTTTTCCCCCACGGTCCCAATTTTCCGGCCATCAAATTTTTAATATGATATATATATTATTCCAATGTTAATTAAGGCTCTTATATCTCTTCTTTATGGCTATTTATTTCTATAACAACCGTTTTATAAATAAGTTTTGTTCGATATCTGCATTAAGTATTTGTTATAGGAATCATATCATAAATAATTTGTTTAATTTTTTGTAAATTTACTATATAATTTATAGATTTAGTATTTAAGTTAGAAAGCTCTTTAAATACAAAGAAATTAAGTTATTTTAATTTATTTTCAAATAGTAAATCAAAATATTAGCTTGAAATTCAAAAAAATATATCAACATTTCAATACCCCGGGTTATTTTATCGATATTCGAAATCAAAAAATAAATAGATTGCTCTTAGGAAATGTGCATGGTGAAAGCGAAGATTTTCCCCAAATGATTAAGCGTTTCTGAACAACAGAGAAGTCTGGTACCATTTTCAAAAAGATATATATTTATAGATAAAAACCTTGAAAGCGTTAACCATTCGAGTCAAAGTAACGTCGTAAGCCTCAATGAGTTGATCGATTCCGTTGTCCATCATGAACGCCTTTTCCTTGCCAGCTTTTTTGACATATAGATCGGGATCTACCGTATAGCGAGCTAATAATGCCACGAGGTTGGATAATGCCAAAGAAAGGGTCACTAGTCTCATACCTGTGTATTCTGGGGAAAAGGGAAGTAAAACATGAATAAATACACATATAAATTTAACCGTTAAATTTCCATTATTTTTTTAATATAAAGGAAGTATTATATTTTTACATAAAAAAATTGACAAAAAAAGATAACGATGTTAAGATAAACCAGAGATGATGATAGGTTGAAGTGAATGAAAAAGACGAGTGAATTTCTATGGTATATAACAGTATATAAAAAATATAGTGAAAATGCAATTTCAAGTCTATTATGTCTTTATGGGGTCTAAGGATGATTATAAATCAAACAGATTATAATCTATACAATATATGGGAGTATATACAATATGTGTAGAGTAAGAGTCTATTCTCAATAATCTTATTAATAAATCTTTCTTTTTTAACTATATTTTCAAAATACCTTTGATTACGTAGTCGAATATAAAATTGATCAATTTTTCCATCATCAATCCAGTATTGATTTTGAGGCCGGAAAAATCGGATATTTCTCGAGTCTAAAAATATTTAAATATAATCTAACCTTAGTTCACATAGTAAAGAATTCTTGTGAATTCATCTTTATAAATATAAAATTATCTCAAAATACATGAAATATGGATATAAACCCTTCCAATCTTTGACACAATTTTTTAACATCTGTTTTGTTTTGAATAAAAACTCAACAATTTTTTTTAAATAAAAGGTTTCAATTGAATTTCTAATTATTTGGGGGAAAGATTATTACATGAACGAGCACAAATTTTAAATACATATATATGTTATGTATATACCTTTATCCCAAGAGGAATATCGTACATCATTGAAGGATTGAAGTTGAAACAAAGGTCTGAAATGTCTTAAAACATATAATTGTATAATTTATTCTTAGATGGTCAGATTGAAAAGTATAAAATCCTAAAAATACTAGTTAAAGATCATTATTTAAAGATGTATCATTAAAAATCCAAACCGAATGGAATTTATGTGAATATTTTATATATTTTATTATTAACTAGAGGGATGTACTGATTATTAAATATCGGATAGACCTGATCACAGTGACCGATAGGATATATCAAAATGGCGATAAAAAAATTATATGGTACACTGTTGTTAATATTTATTTCATCATAGATTTAAAAAAATAAATATTGCATTTTTTAATTTGAATAGCCCCTTTGCTTTATATTTAATTGGATATTGGGAGGGGGGGGGGGGTATTCTAATCTTTCTAGACATTTGTTTTCCTACTTAATGTTATTTTCAAAGATCAGATCGATCTGATTTATAAAAATATTTTTTAATACCTGATATGGATTAGGAAGGTATATTTAAAAAAAATTAATTGTTTTAATAAAATTTTATAATATCAATACTATTTATATTTTAAAAAATCCAGGACATTTTGTCGGTGGATAACTGTTCTAGCACCGTTGCGTAAAATCGAATCGATTCAGCCTTTCCTCTATTAGCAGATGGTAATACAGAACTTACCTAGACATTAAAATGCGCTTTAAACAGGGATTCAAACCAAACCTGAACCGTTAAAACCCCGCTATTTTTTATTGAACCTAAACCAAACCTGAATCGTTAAATGATTTTCTATCTGAACCATTAGTATATCACTATTTTACAATATTTAAATATTTTTAAGCCTAGGTCGTGTCCTGGGACGACTTAATTTTGATACTTATTTCTTTTCAGTCTAGTATAAAAAGCTTTTGAACTAGAACACTCTAGTTTTAAGTATTTGGTGTTTGTTTATTTTTATTTTTTAAATTTTTTCTTTTGCTTTTTTGGCTGTTTGTTGATATTCTAGAACATGGCCATAATGCTTAGAAATAAATCGAATCCAATATATAAATTATTTACATTTATTGTATTATAAATGACATATCAAAATGTGATAGGGTAACCACGAAAAATCTTGAGCGTTACATAAAAAGAAACAACCCTCTAGACCTCAATAATGTTAATAAAATATTAGATTCAAACAGAACCGATATTTTTTTATTTTTTAGGTACCGAATTAGAACCATGAACCGCCATTTTTATCTAAAACTAAACTTAAACAGATATTTGTTTGGGTTCGGATCCCTGTTTTAAAACATCGTTAAATAATTAATAAGTGGTGATACGCCATTTTGATTTCCCTTATAAGAATTCTTATACATAAAACAATGAAACTGATTTTTTAAAATTAAAAATTTTTCACAAAATTAATATAAATTATTCACATGAGAAACCATAATCGTTTATCAGCTGATACGCATTAAATTGATGAATAGTCCGTCTAGGCAAATATATATCATTGATCGGTACACATGGTTATTAACCATTCATTCATTCAATTAATTTTAAAAAGAATATAAGTTAGTTAATAATTATCATAAGGTCATTCAATTTTATTCTTTTAATTTAATTTAATTTTCTTCTTATGAAAAATAAAACCTCATTAGAAATAGCAGAAGAAAGTAATCAATATAATACAGAAAAATAATCGCCATATTTTTTTTAAATTATTCATCTAAAAAACTTGAATCCGATAAGACTGTGGAAATAAAAATAAGGATCAATAATATCCTCCCATCTTCATTCGCGTTATTGGGCACCATGTCAAAATTTCGCAACAAGGTTTTATATATGGGACTAGTAATAAATGTATAAGCAATATATATTTTTACCATTAATTTCAAATGTAAAATGATAAACTATCAATATAACAATAAATTGCAGAGTCAAAACAACTTGATTACTATAAATGGATCGTTCATTATCGAAGGAACAGGGTATAAAATAATTATTTATTCAATAAACGAATGGAGGGTAAGGGTAACTCAATACCAATATAAAACCATTAATAAAATCTAAACAAATTAGTTAATATATTAGTTTCACTTAAACCAAACCATGCAATATTATTAAAGAATAATACCAACTTTAAATTAGTATATTTTGGTGCAATATTACTTTAGAAATATACAACTTATAAGTATTATATTAGGCTCTAGAAGATTAAACTACTCTGAAAAATTGGCATAACATTTTAATGCCATTTAAAAATTTTGCAAATGGCTAAATTTTCAGTAGGATTTAGTTTTCGCCCAACCCAATTTATACCCAGCCCTGTTATAATTTTTTTATGTTTTTTGAATACAAGGCTTAACCCGAAATATATGCCAAAATAAACGACTGTTTTGTGGTTAAATTAAAAACACTATACTTTATGGATTATCACTTCTATCAAAAATCATAATTCATCAATAAGGCTAATACATTACATAATATGTCATATTTTTGTCAATAATGATTTGAACATGTTTTGAGATTAAATTAAAATTCAAGATTATGGGCAAAAAAACCTACTAGCCTATTAATATTCATTTCCCGGCCTCACACCAATCTAACTATAATTTTATTGTTGAGAATAAAAAAGTTTCAGGCGTTACCTGGGTTGAACATTGCAGATTTCTAATAGCTAAACTTAGCAAAGACCGGATCGAAATAAAAAAAACTGGACCTATATTAAATAAAAAATACCGGACCTATATTAAATTAAAGATCGAATAGGGTTAAAAATACGATTTTAATTAAATGCTGAAAAGTTTAATATGAATATATCATTCTCTTCAAGAAAAATTATGTTTATCCCATTAATATAATAAATGACAAAACGTCTGTGATTACCCATTATATAATTTATTTTAAGTGAATAAAAATAATAGTTTATAATTAATATACCATAATTTGTTTTACTTTAATTTCTTTTTGAGAGAATAGAGGTAATCTTCATCTACATACATATTATTTATTTATATTTTGTAAATTATAATTATAAAAAAAATAGTCTTATCATGTTTTGTTTATTAGGTAGGTTAAGCTTTTATTCTTCCATTTCTTTCTTTCTTTCCTATCTTTCTTTCTTTCTAATAAAAAAGAAAAAGAACGTTAATCATTTTAAAAAAGTAGGTTATCAAAAATTTAACCTTTATGCCCTAAGGACAAGCAACTCATAGACAACTTGTCGTCCGGCACAATGTTCTGGTAAACTTCCGCGTTTATAAGATCGTTCGAACTTTTACTGCTTAGCAAATCTTCTCCACTTTTCCAATTATCTCTTGCCGCCGTTTTCAATACACCAAAATCGGCAAAACTTTCGCACATTTTAGGATCGTTGGCCATATTCTGTGTTTTGTCGAGGGAAATATTACCACTGTCAAAAGTTTGAATGAGCGATGAGGAAAAAGACTTTCTTATATCACAGCAATACATTATGATTTGTAGGGGATTGGGGTTTATGAACACAAGGTCTATCAACTCTTGTAGCATGGAATTGACGAGCTTGGAAGCGTGAATCGATTTTTCATTTTCCATGTTCGCGAAGTTATCGATACATTGATGTTGTTTGCTTCCGAAAATTTCGAAACATTGTGTTAACAGGAAAAGAGATACTTCGGGAGTCAGCGACATCGATTTAGCGCTGGTATGCTATGCGAGATAAAACATTATTTGGGGAATTATTAAAAAAACTGAAAAAGATGAATTAAATCATTAGTTATAATATTTTAATCTTACTTCATTTTCGTAGTTAGTTGGGGTGGGGGGGGGGGGAGTAACAAGAGAAATAAAACGACTATAAAGTTTTTTTTAGGATTTTATGGTTTAGGATTTATTTACATCATCTTTGTGATAATTATAAAAATCAGAACACGATATTCCCAAACTTGTTCATGCTTGTTAATTTTTTTGATAACTATAAATATATTTTTAGGTGCCAGAATATTTTCAAAATATGTGGTTTTTGGTTCATTTGTAATAAACTAAAACAAAAATTTTATATTATGTAAATTATCAAGAGAAGAAAAAATATATAAATTTTGCTAAGGGCGGCAATTTTTTTTGTTAAATTTTCCCCCTTCGTAAGTCATAAATTATCAGAATTGTTCATTTTTAAAATATGATCAATCTCAAAATTCAAAGAATATGGATATGATCTGTAATTGGATCTTCGAGAAACTTATAAGTTTTAACTTGCAACCCCCCAAGGTCAAAGACAATGAGTATTTTATATATCACAGAATTCAAGTATTGATTTTCTTAAATTCTTCACGTCGCAATATCTCTCCAATAAATCTTACAGGTATTCCATCTCTTCTGTCCATATCAGACTGGATATGATGAGGTAAAGGAGGAGAATGATTGTGCGGTGGCGATAGCGGGACCAAGTAAAGTGGAACGAACACGTTGTTCACCAGAATTTCGCTAAGGAGACTGGTCAAGGCCGAAAATTTGTTTCCACTGCACTCAAAAATGTCGTAAATATAATGCAACTTGTCCAAGTGGTCAATGGTAAGGTCGTTAAGTTTTTCGAGTAAAGGAGTACAGCTTTGTAAGTGTGGGAGGAGGTGGCGAGGGAGATAAATTTATTTGATAATAAAAGGTACTTTCGTAAAGTAATTATTTATATCCCTTTATATACAGTTTGATTAATTTTTTAGCTATAAAGCACGGATTGAAAATAATTTAAACATTAACACATTTTCTAAAACTGGCCAATAAACAATTATACAAAAGGAAACGGATGTTCTACAAATAATGTGTGAACTATATTTCAACTTAAATAAATAGGCATTTTAATCATATAATGGCCTCCATTTTCAAGACCTATTTTTCAAAAAAGTCGCAAGATTTAGAAAAAGCTACACAATATGACTAGAAAAAAATGTTTTAAATGAATCAGGATGAGATAATAGAAAATAAGATCACTTTTTTCTCAAAATATTTCGCAAATCCAGAGCGTCGTAACCCTTTTTTATTCTCTTATCACCATCATGGACTAACTCGGGTTCGTTGAGCTCCGTCTTTCCTTTTTCGGGAATTTTCCCTTTTACATTTTCGTCGCAAATTTTGACGTCCATTTTGGCTGGTCTATCGCTCGAAATTTCGGTTAAAATGTTAGTGATGCGATTAGTGAGTTCCGCGAGAGCACTGTTGATGTTTAAAATATTCGATTCCAGACTGGAGGAGAGGTCGTAAAAATAGGTGGCACTGCATTTTGTTATCTGTTGGCGGGCATTTTTGTCTTTGACTTTTCCCCAAATTATTTAAAATATATATTTAAAAAAAGAAACAAGATGGCAAAGAAGAATAAAAAAAAATGCGTTTGCAAGAGTTACCGTGTAAATGAAACCAATTCATTCCATTATAGACCGCCTGAAGTGGTGAGGTTTACATGGATTTTTCACAAAGAACCAAACGGTTCTGATAAAATGATGAAATAAAACTTATAATTAGTGACAATACTATAAATAAATTAAAGCGGAAAATTCTATTTTTTTTAAAATTTTATATAATGTTATTTTGCTAAGCCTGAAATATTGTAATTTAATTTATCTATTAATTTATTACAGTTGAAATAGTAGTATCAATATATTAAAAATATTAATAAAACTGTACTTGAAAAGATATTAAGGGTTATAGTTTGCACGGCTATCCTGACCATAGGCTCGGTACTTTTGTAAAATTTGATGGCTTCGGCATAAAGTGGGAATTCGTTGGAGTGCTTGTGATAATTATGAATTTATTTTAAATTACGGTCATCTACGTTAAAAAAAGATATAAATCAATAACCTCCATTTTTAATCTACAGAGCAAAAGATAATCATAAGTATTTTTTTTAAATTACTTCATCAATAGTTTACATTTTTTCCGGAGGGTTAATTTTAAACCTCACTAGGTAATTAAGAGTACAAAAAATTTAGCAAACTATAATAATTTATGTACATGAACTATCAATACAGATAAAATTTGAAACCTTCTTTTCTTTTCCCTTCCCTTTTAAGAATATAACTTATAATGGTAACTAGAGTAATGTGTATGTAGACGTTTGAAAAAAATGGGTTGTTTTTGAGTTATTCCTTTTTTTAAATATAGCTGACCATGTAGAATTAAAAATACACTATGAAACTTAAAGATAAAGGTAGCGATCGGGATGTAAATTCTTTGATAGCTGCTTTTATATCTATTTCATTGATTCTTATAATTTGTTACGCTAACTGGCAAATACATTTTTGAGTCGAAGGGCTAATATTCTTTTTACGAATTATAAAAACTTCCCCTAGATATCCTACATACGTTCTATTTAAAATATTTTTATTATATTTGATCGAAAAATAATCAATAATTTTTTTTTTATTTTTAACCTTAAAAATTTTCATCTATAACTCAGAATTTTTGCCTTATTATTTTATTTGTTTTTATATAATATACAGTTTTTACCCCAAGAACCAAGAGAAAAAAATATTATGATAACCGAATTCCATTATTTATTGGTTAAATCATTAAAAAAAATTAAAAAGTAAAATATAATAAAAAGAAAATGGTTCTAAATTTCTTGGTTACTGGGAATGGTATACATTTATTTTTACTTCGAAAGACCCAATCTTTAAAGGTAAGAAATAAATAATGAGAGTGGTTAAGTGGTGCAAAGCGAATCCATAGTTAACCCTTCAATATATATTTTAAACGCTTATTTAATCTTAAAAATAGGTTGTGTCCAAATTTTAAATTTTCATCGCGCGATTTTTGTATATAGAACAAAAATAAAATAACCTTTTAGGGGTTTTAATTGTAATCGTTAAATTTTAGAATAATCATGATGCGATTGATGAATATCTTTTTGATTGGATAATAAAAATATTTGTATATAAGAGGGATGTAAATAAAATAAATGTTCGTTTCCCAATAACCCTGTTTTCATAGTTAGTATGAATTCGCGGTGAAGTATACAAAATAAGCATTTTAGTAATCTTTTGAAGAAAAACAGAAATTTACTTCGTTTATGAAGAAATGGATAGTATGCTGGTTCAATTTCATCGAAAGCGTCTTCAAGAATGATATATAATAGCCCACAATCTTTAATTTTATAAAAAAAATATTTTAACGTTAGAATAAAAAAAACATCGATATGAGAATTCAGGGGTAACGAATTTCTAAAATCAATTTAAACGGGTTAAGGGAATTTTTAAAATGCAGGTTCGGTATAAATTCTATGTCAATCTTGTGTTTGTGTTTAAGATTGAAATACAGTTTTTTGAACGAGTAAATATTATTAGGAGGTTATAAATCATATTTGCTAAGCCAATTTTGAAAATACTTGTTTCATTTAGGATGTAACATTGCTAAATCATCTATCTTTAGCTAACTCCTAGATTTCGACAAGTTTTAATCCTAAAAAATAGCCTCAAACTTTAAATTAAACTCAACTTAGATATTTAAAGTCAAATTTTTTTAGGCTAACAACTTAGCTTAGGTGATCTGAACAAACCACTTATGAGGGTAGGCCAAAAAAAATTTTATTATCATTATCATTATTATTTTTAAATAAACTAAATGTTTGAATAAAGAAAGTATAATACTGTTGACCGACATCTTGAACAGATGTATTCTCGAATACAAATAAAATCAGAGACCTGGGGAGGTAAATTTTTAGGCTTGGCTCAAATGTATTTTTCATTTCAAACCCAGCCCGACCCAATTGGCCCAACCCAGAAAATTTTTAATTTAAAAGCTAAGGGCCAGAGTTTTACAGTTTTGATTATTTTACATCTCCGTCAGTCCTTCCCTACCATCAAGCTTTCTTCCTTCTCAAAAACTTTTTCTTTATCCCAAAAATCCAACACGCCTTCCGCTCTGCCCCACTTTTCTTATACCAGGAAATTCTCACCCAAATTGAATCAACAATCAAAGACTCTTTAGAAGGCATCCTTAATATAAAATTCAGCCCTAATTCTTGGATGCAGGCCTCCTTACCCTCGAAATTTGGGGGTCTTGGCTTAAGATCACCCGTGTCACTCAGCCTTGCTGCTTTTTTAGCCTCAGAATCAAGCTCCGGCTTAATTATGCTATCACTTAACAATAATCGCACAGACTCCCACTTTCTCCACGCCTTAGAAATCTGGAAAGAGAATTACTTCTCCGCTCCAATCCCCACATCACGAAAGCAACATGACTGGGATCTTCCCTTAATACGCCACTCCGTTGAATATTTAATATCGAGTGCTGCTTCTAAGGGATCCCAATCAATCCTTTCACATTTATTATCTCCCATTACAGTTGATCATCTCTCTCTCCCACAACTGCAAGTTCCACAACTTTTGCCTTCCTTATGGGGCTATGAATGGTTAGAAGCTTTGCCCAGCTCAAACTTAGGACTTCTCTTAACAAACGAAGAATTACGCATAGCAATAGGTCTCCGTCTTGGTTGTAATATACTGGCCAACTCCACATGTACATTATGTTCCCAACCCGTTGATTGTTTTGGACACCATCCTCTTCATTGTCGATTCTCTAAAGGTAGACATTCTCGACACAGTGCAGTTAATAGCACCATTCTCCGTGCTCTACGCTCAGCTCAAATTCCAGCAACCCTCGAACCCTGTTGCCTCTCAACCGAGAATAATATACGTCCAGATGGGCTGACATTAATACCATGGAGTAATGGAATTTCATTAGCATGGGACTATACCTGCATCGACCGATTTGCTTTCTCCTTTAATAAGAACTCATTCATGCGAGCTGAAAACTAGAAAATTAATAAATACACTTCCCTAACAAATTGCAATCTCATACCAATCGTATCCGACACAACCGGGTCCTTTGGCAATCATGACCTATCCTTCTTCAAAACCCTCGGTAAAAAAATCCGCGCCATCACTGGTGATCCTCAGGAAGGCTTCTATCTCAGACAGCGCATATCTATTGATATATGCAGATCTAACTGCATTGCCATCCATGGCTCTCTTTCTTGACCTCCTCCCACCCAACATACAATTCACTATTCTAATTTTTTTTTTTTATTATACAGTTTTTTATATAGATTTTATAGTTTACATGACATTTTTAATATATATTTTTTTAAATTACGTATATATGTTTTACTTTTAACGTTCAATGTATTAAATATTTTTATTAATAAAGTATATATCATTAAAAAAAAAAAATTACCTATTTATAAATAAATAAAATGTTTAATAAGTTATTGAATAAATAAGCAACAAAATTAATGCATATGATTTTTCAAAGAGTAATCTATTTTAGGGTTGGGAAATTTTATTGAGAAGGAAATTACTAGGGAAGGAAAAAAATATTTAAAACATCGGAAGATATCCGAACCTTAACGAACGGGTTGGATTCCGATAATTGTAACGGTTTCGGTTCGGTCGGTGTAAATATTAATATTAATTCCGTTTGAATCTATACAAATTGTTCGAGCTCATTTATTTTATAACTAAATTAACCCATAAATGCAGCTAAAATTTATTTTATTATTGCAAAAATATACCTGATTTTTACATTTAAATTATTATCCCTAAAGATACTTGATCGGCATACAATTGAAATATTTTTAAGATTCTCGTCAAATTATATTTATAAGATGAAAGAATAAATTGGTTGAGAACAGTCTTATCCTATATACTAACTTATGTATCTGGCACCGTTAAATAGCAATATATATAAAAATATCTAAAAAAAAGTTACTGATACTTTTCAATCAGAAATGATTATCTATTTATAGGCTCGGTTCAGGTGACAAATAATTTAATAATTGAGGTTCGGTCTGCATCCATGGTAAAAATATGTTTTTTTTATTCCATAAAAATATTTCTCGGACCTCATTTGGCTGAAAAAATAATAATATTTAAAGAAACGATTGGAAAAATGATTTAGCTATTTTGAACAAAAATTGAATTAACGTTTTAATTTAAATAATTATCGTATCGCAAGAAATTTATGTTAAGGAATATAAAAAAAGGTATAAGTTCAATTAACATAATTTAAATTTATCTAACGGCCCAGTAAGGATTTTGTAAAAAAAAATATTTATTTTTATGCCAGGCCTGGATTTTAAAAATTATACGATTCTATGACCCGCTCTGGATGAAATAAACTGGCCAGGTTCTGAACCTGCTGATAACTGATCTTAATAACATTAAAATTTCGATTGTATCTTTTGGGTTTCTCCATTTATTTTTTTAATAAAAGAAATAAAAAATCTTTTTTAATTGTTTTTAAGTCCTTTCCCACCAAAGATTTATATAAATAATTATTTAAATAAAATAATTTTTCGACTTAAATATTCCTTTTATTTTATTAAAAAGTTATCGATGTATTATTTATAATTTATAAATCTTTTCAAATGAATTAACTATAAAAAAAATCACGTGCGTTCATTTTCTATTTAAAAATAATATAAAAGTAATAAATGAAAAATAGCTAGCGAATAATTGGAAAGAAAATTGCTAAAAGCGCTAATTCTTAATCCCTTTGAATTTGATCCGGGTGGTATCACTTAAAAAAAAATAGACTTAATTTATATAATATTCTCCTTTTTCTAATGTAAAACTTTGAACTTGAACTAGTTTTTGTTATCCTAATTTTAAATCGATCGGCAAATTTAATTTTTGTTAAAGCCCGCCAAAATGGATGTATTATCAAAGCTATCATGCTTAAATACGAATAAAAACCCCTTGTAAAGAATGTTGAGTTTTCGGTTTTTACAGGAAAACGTTCAGCTAGTATGGTTTTAAAAGGCTCGATTTAGCCAATTTTAAATAAAATTTTAGAGAAAATAATATAACGCAAGTCCTGAGATTTCTTTAATAGATGCCCAAACCTTTCTATCTATGAGCAAAATTATCACACCTGAGGTGTTGACCGTTTTTAAAAATCGAGCCGTTTAACAACACTAAGGTGTTAAGATCATACAACAGTATTATATTGTATCTCCTTGGTGGGGCAATTCAAATTTTTGACAGGTCTAGAAAATGTAGTCTATCTTTACTATTTGACGGTGACTATATACTTATCAATATCGTTGGTTTGAAGTTTGCATTAACGTATAATAGGCCACACCTTTCAGAGATTGGCAAAACTACCACACCTATGCAAAAATTGAGGAACTCAGCTCAAGAGGTAATTTTGAAACTGGAAAATAATCCAAAGATCACTAAGATGTGATAAAAGAATATTCACGGTTAGGAAAGCATATAAGATTGATATGGATATGATAGGAAATATAGGCTTTTTGACGCTTATAGTAAGCTTAAATATTTATGCAAATCAAAGATTTTAAGAAACTTACTTTCATTCGGCTAGAAAAAAATAAAGACATAATAGACCAGAATTATCAGATGGTACTATGGATAGACTATTGCATGAACATTTTTGAATCAAGAAGACCGATTATAATATAGTCGAAAGATCAATCTACATCTAAATCCACTCACAATTTCAATAACTGAAATCAGAAAACTAAGAAATCACAAAGCTCCAGGCTTGGATAACATCACTGGGGAACCTCTCAAAGCGGCATCTAATGCTGCACCACACTTCCTAGTCGTAATTTTTAATAAAATTAGGCTATGGGATAATAACAAAAGACTGGAATTTATATCTTCTATGCAACTTATCACAAACCCAACTACATTCTGCGATTATAGGGCTATAGCGCTCACTAAATTAACATTTGCCTTTCTCCTGCCCTTAAAGTAATTAAATACATCTGCAGTTCATGAGAGTGGGGTATGGTCTTGGCCCAAACTCCTTTTAATCAGCTCATTGTTGTAATTAAGGTTTTTGCAAAAAAAATTTTTTTATACATTTCATCCTATTAAATAGAAATTAAAAATATCTGGCGTATCTCTGTTGTATCTAAAATTACTAGAGGGTGTGCTTTTTCCTGTATCAAATGGTGTATCGACGGTGGGCTAAGCCCCATTCCCACTAATTTATTTTTGATTTTTAGCCTCCTTTCTAAATTTGAGGAGGGGTTGAGCCTAGTGTTTTTAAGGTAATTAGTTACAACTGTAACTAGTTATATTTTAAAAATTGTAACTAGTAACTGTAACTAGTTA